GGTATCGCAAACAGGCCGGGGTGCTCGGAATTGGGCAAGCCCAAACTGTCTGCTTGAGACCGTATCCAAAAATGGGCCTAGCCCATAATGGTTTTGGAGTTTTGCATGAGGGGTATTCCCCCCCTTGCAGCCTCCTTCAACCAATCAGTCTTCCTCCGAGGAGGAAAGCCAAGAGCGCCCCAAATAGGCCCGAAGCCGCGGATGCGCTCCGTGCTTACCTACGGACAACTGATGCTGGTTGAGTTCATGCTGGCAGCTTTAGCTCTGGTTTTGTATGAGCTGTTTGAGAAGTGAGTGGGCTTATTCCGCGTCATGGTGGAATAATAACAAGGTGTTGTCAGTAGCGACGTGTTTGTTGTGATTTTGACAACATCGGCATGCTTATTTTAAGTGCTGCCGATCTCAATTTTTATACTACTATTCGTTGGGAAATGGTATCTAAAATACTCCATTTTAGTAATTCGTTTTATCGCGATTTTTAAAGAACTTGGTGTTTTCAAAACAATATTAATATTTAAAATTGCTGGATTTGTATAATTTTTGTCCTGATGGATTTGTAATTTTTGTTTGTAGAAAAATAAAAGATATCGTGGTTATCAATGGAAAAAACGGAAAGGCGCTTTTTTATATTAACTAACTTTTGCTGCATTGTCATTATATTGAGCCAAATGAACTACTGGTACATTAGAATAGAGTGGCTGCATGGTTAAATTAGGAATTCGCTTATATTATCGATATTTATGTGTTTTAATCTATTTAGAAAATCATTTACAGTAATATAGGAAATTGCCTTATTTTACGGCTTTTACTTTTTTAAAGTTATAATATATGTCAAAGCTGTGTGGAGCTGCCGATACAAACATATACCTTATTTATACCAACACATAAAGCGCTTTGACCCAGTTCGTTGTGATTCAAAACGGAAAAATCAACCAACTTTCAATACGCTCAGAAATTCGAAAGTGTATTGACTCGAATTTGTTTTCAAATCGCTTTTTTATTTCTCACATCGGTTAGAAAACTGGTATAAACACATCACTCCTTTGACGCGAAGTGAAAAAAAGGCTGGTTTTCTTTATACAGCCCGTTTTAAATTTGAATTATTATTATAACAAATTTGAATTTTTGTTCGCTTCCATTTCGCTACACCGCGCAAATAAATAATTTAAGAAATATCGAATAAAAATAATAAATTTTGTTTACTTTTGAATACGGTTTCAGCGAGTGCGCCATAACGACAAAGGTATAAATGCTTGAAAGAAATATGTGTTGAGGCAAATCAGCTTTTTGTTAATGCGGTTCTTGGGTAGGTATAAACAAGGTAATATATTCAGGCTTATAAGCCTGTAATTATACATTTTTCTACATTTAATTTGAAATAGTGTGCACCAACGGTTTAAAGGTAGTAAATAATTAGTACCTTTTCTAGTACTTTAAAATGCGTGACCGGAATAGACCTGCCGAAAAAGTGAGGTTAAGTTACTGACAACACCTTGTTATTAGGAGCGTTCCTTATCTCCCAGAAATAGTCAGAAAAAGTCCGAAGTAGTCAGATTTAGTCCAAAAAGCGTTCCTTAACTCACAAATGACAGCAAAAATGAGAGAGCAACACTCGGTGAGAGTGACTCTCATCAGTCCGAAGTAGCCAGATTTAGTCAGAAGAATTTTTTCTGGCAAAATCCTGAAAAGTGTCAAACTCGACTGAATTTAAATTAACGGAAATTAAAGAATACGCAAGAAGTGAGAATAATCTAAAAAGTAAAAAAAGTGAATTGAAATTGGAAGGAGGCAAAAAAAAATTGATATAGAAAGTGTTTATTGTGCTTGTGCTTGTGTGAAGGTGTTTTGTACATACATTTACATTCTTATTTGACGTTAGCTTTGTTGTTGCCCTTCTTTGGACTAAAAATTTGGTTTTTTGCGTTCCTTTACTTTTCTCGTTATTCTCTTTTAGTGAGCGCATTTTGCTTACGCTCTGACATTTTGACACTTTTCAGATTTTAGTCCAAAAAGATAAGGAATGAACCTATTATTACACCATGATTCCGCGTTATGTGTTTTGTGTAGCGAATTTCTTCCATATGTTGGTCCGCATGATTATCCAAGTTGGCGTTTGCGAAATTTGTATGTGCTTACTATGCCAGCTTCGTGTATGCGTATGTATGCATGTATGTATGTACATAGGGGTGCTTTTAGTCTCGTTGGTATGTTAGTTTGTGTGTACGTCTACCAGTATGTATGTATGTATGTTTATATATTTGTACTTATGTGCAGTTGTAAGGCGTATGCTAGGGTGATGTCGAGTATGTTATTGTGGCGTAGGCGAAGCTACGTTACACTATTTTATAAATAACTCCCTCAGTTTTGAAGTCATTTTACTAAAATTTTGCACATAACGGTTTTTATACCCGAGCGCACTTGTGCACAAGGGTATATTAATTTTGTTCACATAACGGTTGTTTGTAACAGCCAAAACGAATCGAGATAGATATAGACAAATGTATACATAAATGATCAGGATGAAAAAAGAAATCGATTAAGCCATGTCTGTCTGTCCGTCCGTCTGTCCGTGTACACGATAACTCGAGCAAAAATTGAGATATCTCAACGAAATTTGGTATGTAGGTTTCCCTTAATCCAAGGTAGGTTGGTATTGAAAATGGGCGAAATCGGACTTTAACCACGCCCACTTCCCATATAACGGTAATTTCCAGAAATACGAAAACTGCGATATTTTAGTAACTACTGAAGATAATTCACTCAAAATTGATATTTACAATAATTTTTAGACGAAAAATAAGAATTTTATAAATATTTGGAAAATGGGCGTAGCCACGCCCACTTATGGTTACATGTGTATATCTTGGTAACCGCTGCACCAATTTCTTCCAAACTTGACACAGTTGTTGGCCTTCGCATAACATACCAAATGGCCGAAAATTTTTAAAATCGCTCAATAACCACGCCTACTTCCCATATAACGGTAATTTTCAGAAATACGAAAACTGCGATATTTTAGTAACTACTGGAGATTATTCACTCAAAATTGATATTTATAATAAGTTTTAGACGAAAAATAAGAATATTATAAATTTTTGGAAAAT